AGAAGGGCATGGAATGGGGTAGGATAGAATGGGATGGGATGGGATGGGATGGGATGGGATGGGATGGGATGGGATAGAAGGGGATAAAAGGATGGGGTGGATGGAAGGATGGGTTGGGAGGGAAAGGAGCTGATCTTAGCAAAGGTGTCCTGGAACTTCAGAACAGAGGGGACTTAAACCTCCAGGTGGAGTTTTCTAGGGGAGTCTTGGGAACCAGTTCATTGATTAACAATTGCACCTACTGAACTGGACCAAACAGTCTAATTCAGCATGACATATTGGAAATAGTGGTAATAGTAAAAGGAGCAACGGTCTTCAGAGATTCCTCATGTCCAGGAAACTCTTCCTGAAACCACAGGTTAAATTTATGGCCATAAGATGAAGCAGAGAGTTTTGGAGAAGATGACTTTGTCCTTAGAAGCAGTAGTTAGTATGAATGAGGAGCTGTGCCCTGGCACTTCTCCTGTGACAATTATTAGCAGCATCAGTGAACTCTGAGTCTTACATGCATAATTCAAATGTTTCAGATTATTCCTAACTTGAACTCAGAATATGAATGCTTTTGACTGTAATTTTTAAGATTCACCATTTTTGTATGCTATTTCAATTTTTGAAAGCTCAGAAAACAGTGCCTATTTGGGAAGTCAAAATAATCTGTGACTTTTTTTCCTAGTTTTTAAATTACTTTTATTTCAAAAAAAGAGTCTGAAACTATACGGTTTTACAGCTCTGCAGTTATTAAGTATTTAATTTTATCATTGCTGTTAGATTTCATAAATACAAGTTTGTTAGATATAGAATAGATACTTCACTAGTTATTATGGTATCCAGAGATTGTTTTACATGACAAATTGAAGCAGCTTTTTTAATATGAAATGTAGAATAGATTATACTTTCCTAATTTTGTAAACTGAGTAATTTATAGGGTACCAAATTTGTAGATCTTTCTCTATATAATTAACCTTTTATATTAAGCAATTTTATGGTTTTATATTTTTATCAAGCCACCTTTAGGTATTTTCTTGTCTAAAATGATCTGTTACATATGAAACCTCTTCTTTGTGATCCAGTGACTCCTTCTGTTATGGATGTAGAACTATTTATTCATCGCAAACTAACATGTCATTTATAAAAGCTTTTCCATTAAAATATAAGCCTGACTGTTATCCATGAGGTTTCTGACAGAAGAGAAAATTGAGTTTTACACTCACTTTGTACAGTTGACTTTGTAACTCAACTGTGGTGTCTCATCACTCAGACAGCTTCTGATATGTATTTTGAAGTATAATAGGGCCTGACTGCTCAGAGGAGGGGTTTACTCCATAGGGGGGACTTGTTGAAGTCTGCTCTCAAAAATGTTTTTTGATCTCTCTATTTAGGAATTTCTTGGTTATTTCTTACTATAGATCCTGTGCAGCACTGCTGATTGCTGCCTCACCCTTTATTTTGTTACTCCTCCACCATAAGCAGCATAGAGGCATTGAGGCTACAGCTTCCCTATTTCTTCTGTTCAAGATATTCCAAATGTGCCGCACTTGTGGTTGATCCATCTAGGTGGAGAAGCTCAAAATTCAGAGATTCGCTCACCTGAACTTTCTGCTGCTGTTAACACAAAAGGACTCGGGCATGGGCAGAAGATGAAGTTCAGCCTGTGTGACTAATGCAGCCCAGGCCTGCAGCTTAGTACCTTCTCCTTGCACTCTGCAGAGGGATGTAGGGAATGTTTGGTAGGCTCAGTGAATCAAAGACGTAAAAGAACAAGACAAATGTGGCTCATCTTCATTAAGTGATGTGATGCAGTCCCGCTAGAGCATTTTACTGCTAGTCTTAGTCTCCCGAGTTGTGCACTTTACATTACAAGATTGTCGGTGCTGATGATGACTAAATAACAAAGCTCTCCCTTGGCAGCAGTAATAAGAAATATTATGTCTCCTTTTCCAAGTGTTGTTATGATAAGAAAATGTTATTTCCTATCAACTTTGATAGATTTTTATAAGTTCTCATGAAAATATTTCACACAACTGAACACAGGCATCACTAAAAAAAAGCCCCAGTATTTAATTTGCCAAAACTGAAACTCACCTCTTTTATTTGCAAGAAAGGTTTGGGTTTTCATTCCATTTTAAGGTTAATCATTAAAAACAGTATCAAACAAAAATTTGTTATAAACATTCCCAAACTTTGTTGTCTTGGTGATCACGAGTAGTGGAGGTACCAGCGCCTCCCAACATGTGCTTGTTAGGAAAGTGATATAACAGTAAACACCCAGAGGTCCTTAGTCACGTTGAGCGTACCCCATTTCTCCATCCTTGAGCTCCTCTGCCCTACTAAGTGGATATCTGTCTTCTAGCAATGGGAGAAGTTGAACCAGCTGATTTTGGGAACTTCTGCCTTGCCTTCAGGGTTCAGTTTTTTGGTGTTTTTCAGAAGAATCTGAAAATGGTGATAAAAGCAGAAATTATCTTGGCAATATTTCTTGTTGAGAAAAACAGCCTCTTTATCATCAAAATGTGGTGAAACATTTCAAATTACTCACATGCACTTAACTCCAAGTAGAACTCTCTGTCACAGTGTCTGCTCCTTTCTGCCTGTACCACATGGCACAGGTTAGTCTGGTGGCCATTGTGGCTACTGAGATTTTGCACCTATGCAAACACAGATAGTACTGGCTCTTCACATCTGTGTAAAAACTGCCTGTAATTGTGCACAGCTACCTGTTTCCTTCCCTATATCCCGATGTTTTCTGTGCAGCGAATTACCTGAATCACAGACTGAGTTTGGTGCTGCTTTTATTCCTTTGCACAAAGCTAAGTAGTCCATGGCTTTCACCTCTGCTTGGGGGCTCTGTTGGCTGAAATACTGAAACACTTAAGAACAGCATCACTTCTATGCTATCACTATTTACTGCATATTGCCCATGGTATAGAGCAAACAGAACTTAATGTATTTCCTCTGCCATTATCATGAATTATTAGGTTTTTAACTTTTATCTGTGCTTTCTCCAAGAAGGTTTTATAATTTAGAAGACAGTAGTAATTTGAGCAGGATAGACGTACCTCCTACCTCTTTCTTTTCTTTAGATTTTTCCCCCACTAATGCATTCCGTGGGCTTTAGGGATGAGCCAAATTACTCTGTGTTGGCGAGAAGACCAAATCAAATGAGATTTAGCTGCACAGGAAAGTCTCACTGAATAGTCCCATGGTGAAAGCACTTGTTAGTGGGGAAGGATTGGGGCTGCATATTTGACGTCCTGCTCCCAGGACTCCTTCAGTGGTTTATATGCTGTCACCATATATAAAAATACAGAAAGAGCCCTGCAGGCAAGAAATACAAGCAACTCTCCCACTCCCAGATAAGTGCCATAGGCAGTAGGCTGTAGACTCATGTTTCTGCTTCTGTTTTTTTGACTCGCTGCATAGAAATTTTTATTTTTGGCTGGCGACACAGCTTCAAGGAAAAGCTCTTCCCCTTGGTATCATAATGGATAGGAGGTGGGAGGAGAGGAATGGATACCTTGGTAGGCAGCAGGGAAGGAAATCAAATCTTATTTCTCTGTGTTTGTGATGGGTGCCTTTACCAGTAATCCATAAAAAGACTGATTATTTTTTATAAGTTTATAAGCTCACATCTTGCTTGGCTGATATCAGGGAGGTAGACATGAAAGCAAAGCTTGTATCTGATCCAGTTTAGGTGTGAGCTGAGTACTAAGCCTGTTGACATGGATATTGGGAAAGATCAGTGGCTGCGTTCATTGACGTTGCAGTACCATGACTTTCAGGCATTTAAGGTGTTGATCTACACAGCTCTGAAAATCACTTCTAAGGACCACTTTAAGAAGAGACACGTACTGAACAGCTTCATTCATATCTGTGCAGCAGGCTTTTGTCTTTCAGACAGCTCTAGGTGTTTCAACACTACGTAAAATGTCTAAGGACAGCCATCTCTTGCAGCAAACCATGTGTGTGAAATGAGTTTCCTCAATACCCACTCTGGCCAAGCCCTGTGCTCTCTACACCAGCAAATTCACATGTGCCTGGGGAAGAAGCCAGGCAGTGACATGCCACTTTGGGTGCTAGTGAGCTGTTAGGGTGCTCTGTCATGTTAACCAGGCTCATTGTGACCAGCAGTCTTCCCAGACAGTTCACCCATGCCGAGAGAACATTTTGAGTAGGTAGGTATGTAGTTTGCACACAGCTGCCCTTTTTCAGAGCCGAGGACACTTTACTGGAGACAATCTTAAGCTAGCAGCCAGCAGTGCTGGGAGCATTATAGGACACATTCAATGTATTGGTGCAGGTGATGACCTGGGCTACATGACAGTTTCAATGAATGTCAGGGCAGAGGTGGCTCATCAGCAGAATCTCGTCTGATTTGACACCTCCATCTTCTGCTTACTTGGTAATGTCTGGGCTCCAGGAAGACACATTGTCTCTGAAGAGTGGTGGTCTGTGAATTATTTAGGCATCTTGCTGACCCTGGGAGAGAAACTGGCTCTGTGTGTGTTCATGGATGTCATGTCTTCCTATGTGATACAGGACAGAACTCTTGGTATGTTGTTGATAATACCCTAAACTGAGTTCTGCCTGTGCCAGTGCATTTTTTAACCTCTCTACTATCTCACACATGGGATTTGGGTCTGTCTTGTACTGTATTGTGTGATGTATCTTGTGGTTTAGGGAAGCTAAGAGTATACTGAAATGTGATGTCACCTGAATTGCTTGAGGGAGCGCACTAGAGGGTCATAGATGAAGAAAGTGATTCTGAGGTGTCCTTAGAGAAGTCCCAGCTAGGCCATTATTGTGATGCTCATGAGTCCAATACAAGGTGAAGACACTATGAGAATGTCATCGGGGTTGCTGTTGTGTACAAGGTGAGAAACAAACCATTAGACACTGAAATTCCATCTGAGGTCGATGTAAATATGTCATTTGCTGGATTTGGTCATAAACGTCTGTAGTTCTTTTCCATATCTAGGGAAGTAAACAAATTATTGATCGAGATGGACAATGGGTTAAAAGAGGAGAGGGCAGAGTGTGACAAAAGCAAGGTAGATGGCTAATGCCACATGAGCCAACAGCTTCACTCACATGGCAGTGGTCTTCCCTCTGAGATTCTCCCTTACCTACAACACAAAAAGGATAAGATAATTTTTGTTAAGATAGGAACAACTTACATGTCCAAGAGGATAATCTGATTTTAACATTGTCCTCTGTGTGATAATTTTTCATTTATATATACTGGGACAGATGTTTAGCTGATAAAAGTCAGTGTAACTTTACTGATTGCAGAGGAGCTGCACCAAGTTGATGATTCAACGTTTGTTCATTTAATTGTTTAGATTTATCATATTTATTAACCTCAGTACAGAAAATGTGGTTTTCATGACTGGTGTAAGGGATTATTTTTGTATAGAATGGGCAGATTCTGCTCTCGGTGCCACAAAGCCCTAGCTTGTAGGTGAGGATTGAATCTGGCCATTATGTGTAAAAGGAAATGTTTTATGTGAAATACCCACATATGCTAATACTTTGGTTGGTATTCATAGGGCCATGCTTACTCCATCTGCCTCAGTTATAAATATTTTAAGTGCACATTTCAGTAAATTTTAGCAATTGTAACAATGTAGTAAAATCAAGTAGATGTGTAATAAATTCTAGCAAGCACAGAAACTCAGTTGTTTCTCAGTAGGATTCTGTTTAGCTGCTCAAAAATGTCTTGCTACAGCTGGAAAAATATGGAACTGAGTTTAAACTTCAACAGGAGTGCTGCTGAGAAAGTTTATTTCAGCGTCTTTAGAACAATAGATTAGATTGTCAAAAATGAGTAGCAAATGTGGTTGAAGAAGAATTTTAATCTGGATTTTTTTTTTTTCTTTTTTGCTTAACATTCGGAAATGCAGAATTACCTAAGAAACACATGCTGGTGCAAGGATGAAGGTTGATGCTTCTTAGCTTCTTTCAATTCCATACCCAACTAAATCCACCCCCAACAGTGGGAAGAGAGCCATTAGGCTGATGCCGTGTCTTTCTGATTTGCATTTGCCCAAAGTAACCTAGCAGCTTCTGGCAAAGTGCAGGTAACTCATTTGGGTTGGTTTTGAAGACGTTTACTCCAAGGTCTTCCAACATTTTCTACACCCTTTCACTCCCTGAGTGTACCTCTGTGCCTCAGGGAGTGAGGAGGTCCCAGCAGTCTTCTTTAATTCCTGGATTTAGGGAACTCCCTGGAACATACCAAACAGCCATATCTGAGTATCCTCTGGGCCTGTTCCGCCCTCTTTGGGATATATCTCTCTGTTTTAGGAATAGATTGAGGAACTTGCAGTCAAGACTAGTTGAAAATAAATCTAAGAAAACAAAGACATGAGGAATGGAGGGAGCATGACAATACTGAAGTAACAATAGCCAGGTTTGCATGACTTTGCTCAGTCTAGGTGAACACCTGAATGCTGACAAAGGCTACACCCAGGAACTTCAGTTTCAGAATTTTGCCATACTATTCTTTGTGAAGCCTGGTGCAAATAAGAAAATGTCGAGTGTTCTGTCTCACCCATAATTAAAAAGTGGATGTTCTGTTTATGTTTTTCTTACAGCTGGCAGCATTAGAGAGACAGATCTTTGACTTCCTTGGTTTCCAATGGGCTCCTATCCTTGGCAATTTTCTGCAGATAATAGTTGTCATTTTGGGTTTGTTTGGAACCATCCAGTTTAGGCCTCGATATATAGTCGTGGTAAGTTTCTTTTTCTTCTTTTTACTTTTTTTTTTTCTCTTGGTTTTAAATCCTGTCATATTGCAAAGCAGAATTTTCTTGATTTCAAAACACCAGATGGTATTTCTGTAGACTCTTTAGAGGTTTCTATGTCTTTTTGCAAATTTTGGACTACTGAGTGGCATTTCTAAGATTTTGGAAGCTATCGAGAATGGGTAACCTAGAGAAAGTGCTGCCAAAATTATGATTGTGATACAAGTTCTTAGTAAGACTATTTAAAGAATGAAATACCTACATGGGTCATGGGAACATCTACAATTAGACTATGCGTAAATGAAGAAAAGAAATACAAATTGTTGTTACTTTTGCAATAGACAAGCAGAATCAATGACAATTAAAAAACCCCACAAACCACTATTTATAACGGTCAAGTTATATTTAGCTGCATCTTCCTCTTAAACAGGGAGAATCAAGGATTGTAGAAATTCCTTTGATCCTGTGACCCATGGGTTCCAAAGAAATCTCCTTATCACATTTAACTGCCAAGACCTGTTTTTATGGCCATGACCCTAAATTGTTGTAAATTCTCTCTGATGCTTGTAACTTGAAGCTTCACAGGCTTTTTCCCCATGTTCTCAACATAGCCAGGAATTAAAAAAAAACCAAACAAAACACCAGCAACCAAAAAAAACACCACCAAACAAACCAACAAACAAAAAAAAACAAACAACAACAACAAACTTTCAAAGCTGTGAAGGAAACTGCCAACAAAAACTATCCCTTTTCTCCGCACAGTCTCTCCTAAATGGATATTATATCTTTACCTGGCAGTGTATGTATCTGGATCATTTCAGATGTATTGTCAGTAATGGATTTTAAGAAGCTAAACATGTTTGGGTTTTTTCCTCACAAAAGAGTGAAATAAATGTCTGCTGGGGAAAACTCATTAAAGAATACTTTAAAACCTTCATTTTTTCTAGTCAATCCTGGAATCCTGTAATTCTTTGTCATGTCTTAGAAGAAAAAGTGAACAAAAAGTGCACCCAAGGTTCTTTATGCTCACCTTAGCTAAGCTTCACAAGCCGACTATAAGTAATTGAAAATGGTTTGATGTAAATAATAGCACTTTTATCTATTACCTGTGGTTGGAGAACTGGGCAGCAGTGTATATATATCCATGTATTGATGACTCGCCTTTCTGCCTTGTGTTCTCCATTTCATCCATAGTACATCACAAGCGAGGGTAAGCACCTGTAAAATTACGTAGGATATTTGTGTCAGAAGTGCAGCAACACAAAATCTCTTGCCCCTCAGGTTCAGCACTGCTATTCAGTTCTGCTTTAGTTTTCAAATGAAAGACAACAGATGTTGACTTTCTCTATCTTTACTAATGTAAATGAACATTTTAGACTCTATCAGTTGTTTTAAAGTAGAGCTGGAAAACTCGTAACTAAAGAAACACCTCAACAAGACACTTTATCCTCAGATTTAGCTGAAGTCACATTCTGATTTAACTTTGAGCATATATTCAAGAGCTCAAGCTATTGCAGGTGAAAATACTACTTGAGAAGATCAAGACTTTACAGCAGCTTCTATCCTTACTAATGTAATGTTACCAGTGAAGTAGGAATAGTTTGGTGCAAATCCTGAAGCTGGAAGAGTCAAACTACACAAGCTGTCTGGAACCAGCCTCACAGCTCAACACCAGCAGAAGGGAGTGGTTTGCATCGCCTCCCTATTCCCACTGTCAGTCTCCCTGGCTGAAGACCTCTCCATACACTTTTCTGTTCGGGCCGCAGTTAACCAGACTCTTCAGTAAGCCAGTTCCACTCCTAAACTGCCAGAACACCAACTTAGCAAAAAAGTGGGGAGTTTTTTGGTAGATTGGTGAGCTGAATCCAGTCTGTAAGGTTCCAAATAGGTGCCAGGGCCAGCATGGAGCAGGGATTGGGACTGCAGTCATGAACAGCAGTGCGGAGGCAGAGGGGAAAGGAGGAGATGCAAGACTTCCCTTGTTGCTAGCTACAAACTTGTCAGTTCAGCCTCTTGTTTAGCTTCACCCTCGGGCTGAATTCAGTGAATACCTCAAGCCAGCATAAGCAATGATCCTCCCTTTGCTCAGTCCCTGTGCTGTTCCCGCCTTTGCACCAGCACAAGTGTCGGTTCAGCCACTTAAACTGTCAAACCTGAACAGATCCGGCTGAAAAACCACCATTTTCCTTTCCAATGTTAATTTAAGTGTGGGTGAGCTCTCTGACCTGTTTCACTTGTTCCAGCAGAAGGGAAGAAGTGCAAGAGGGGAAACGGGAAGAAGTAGCCAGAGGAAGGGGAAAAGTGCGTGGAGTCTCTCTGCAGCAGTGCAGGGATAAAGTGCTTAAAGTGCTCATTAAGAAAAACTTTGAAGAGCCCGAGGATCTTCCAGGCAACACCTAACACATGGTCCCCAGAAGCTGTGCTTCCTAGGGCTGTCCCAAGTGCAGCTTGGCTGTGCCCGCTCTCCGCAGAAACCCTAGAGGAGTCAGTGGTACGGACAGCAAAGGCCACTACCAGTACCAGCTCCAGGCTGTCTTGACTAACCCAAAGGCCCCTCTCCCAGGGAAGGACATAGACTGCCTCCCTGCTTCTGAAACTCTTTAAAAACACAGTTCACCTGTTACAGTGGTAAACTTTTACTGCTGGCTTCAAATATAAAGTTTGTTTAATACAAATCTTCAATAGAGTCCTGAATTTCAGTATTACTTAAACACAGTGCAGGCTCTGAGTAGTGAATTGGGCTTGAAATTCATTGAGAAGCTTCATGGACTTTTGAGTCCATAGCTGCACCTTCAGCCACATGTAAGCCCCTGGATATGGTAGTGGTTGGTGTCTCACATTGGAGGGAGAAGTCAACACTGTGACTTTGGCAAAATAAACATGTTGAGTCATGCTTTTATGTAACCTGCTGAACCTTCTGGTTTCGATTAAGCTAAATCCAATTTAACTGGAAAAGTAACCAAATACTTCAAGAAAAGTAGGCTTATTATCCACTGTCTTTTCCTTAAGACTTCCCTGGAAATCAGCTTTGCCTAGTGCAGATGATCCATCAGAATATAAAAGTAATGAAGTAAAGAGAGAATCACGTCAGATACAAGTTTACTTCTGTAAACTGTCTACACAAAATTAATCTGCCACATGTGGATGCAAATTGCCCCCATGATATTCTATCATACTCTGGTAGGGATCTTGACTGAAGCTGGCCAGCCTTAGGGTCTTTGGTTTGACCTCAAGAAAACGTCTTCAATCTATCTTCTGTCTGATGAAGGCTGTACATGAAGGTCCCCCTGACAAGGGAAGTGACATAGAAGCTTTCACTTTGCCATCCTATGCTGCATATGTCATGTACTCTCCCCTCAAATTTTAACATAGAGCAGGATTGGGAAAGTAAGTGAATAAATGTGTTAGATGTAGGGCCATAACTTGAAGAACATCTATACTGCATTCAAATGTGAGTCTAGGTCTGCAGGCACAATTGAGCAGGCTTTTCGTGCAGGAATCTAGAGCCAAGGAGCTCAATGAGGGCTGCGATAGAAGCTTGATAAAAACAAAAGCTGTTGTATGCTTCTAACTCTTCCACTGTCATTGCACCCAGGCTATCTAGTTCATCACTGGCATTTAATGCCTATGTAAGTTGCAGTCTTCTCTTTGACAGCAGCATAAGCATAGCCATTGTAGATTAAAAGTCTGAGTGAAGAAGTGAGTTTTCTTCATAGTTTGATTGATACAAAATTTAATCTGAGAGCTTTCTACCAAAAAATGCCCCACCATCTAAGAGCTGACATGCAATGGCTGAGTCAGGAAGCATCTCTGTTGAATATAATTGTTATTCCAAGTAGATCAAGGCAGTGACTCATGTTCTGTGTTTATGGACCTTCAGAAACAGGACTATGACAATGGTGATTCTTAAATAAATCTGCAATTTCACTTGCTTATAGGTAAAATTCTGAGTTCTCAGTGATTAGGAAACACAGAGAGAGAGGGGGGGAGCAGCAATGTTAACTCCAAATGTCCTAATTAGTTTAAATACAATGATTATTTCTAATAGTTTTTGTATTAATGATATAGATCAATTTTTGTGAAAAATTTGTCCTGCCACTAAGTGGATGTCTTCTTTTTGGTACATGAATATTTTGTGCCTGAATTAAATGAGTGCAAAGTTCCCAGGGGACTTAAAAGTGCAGAGCTGCTTCCTAATTTTCCCATATTTGCCCATTTGAAACTTACCCAAACAGCTGCAAAGAAGAAAAAACATCTAAATTTCAGTTCTAACTACATTGTAACACACCCATTATGCAGCTCCAGACCTGTGCTGTCATCCATTTCCCTATACATGCTTTTCCTTTCTTGATAGAACTTGCTATCACCAGCAAGATTTTCAGGCTGTTAAAATTGATTAAAGATGATGAAAGGATACTTGTTAAAGTTGGAATTTTTTCCCCTCTCTTACTTCTGATATGGGACTTCAAAAGCCTTCTGAACGATGACTCATGTAGCTAAGATTGCAGAAACCTGGCCCAAAGCTGAACATGAATGTATTAATGAACAGCGAGAGATGAAAATAATACACTTAAATAGGGGGAATATAAGGTGGAAATCTCTTGTTTTGCTTGCCTTAATTTATTCCATTAAATAATATGATATGTAGGCACTGTGTATACTTGAAAAGCCAAGAGGCAGTTTCTTTAAAAAAACAAGAAAGCAGAAGAAAGGGTACACAGGATACTTTATGCAGTATTCAAGCAAATGCTATACAAACACTCTTGCAGTTCCATAATACAACTGAAGTATTTAGACATCCAAAACTACACCTTGAATATCCTTCCTGTCAAGTCCTGAGTTGTTACTGTTCCATGATCTCCATTTATGACACTTTCCTTGTCATTTTTCACCACGATGGCTAAGCAGGACTCTGTAAGTACTGATGCCTCTGAGACACAGCCAGATACTACAGGAAGAAAATCTGGTGACTGGGTAGTTGCTTCCTTTACCTTGAAGTACCCGTGATCCAACATTAATTTCCTCTAATGCCAAGGCATTGTCAGAGGAGGTGCTGCACTTCTGATTAAATATACATGAGGTAGTTTAGTCATTAAAACTAAACTTATCCCACAATCATTGTAATATTCAAACTTAGAAATTTCCCTTTTCTCTCTTACCTTTCAGTTTAAGAAACCATCCTTGGCGTTTTTCCTTAACACTTTTGTTTTGTGATATAATGTGCCCATCTAATACCAGTTATGTAGCTCTAGAAGTGGTTGTATTTCACAGGGATATGAAAGGTATCTGCATCATTTTCAATTTGACCTGTAGACTCAAAAGGGGTGTAGAAATATCACTGCTATAGAGAAGCGGGAATTAAGAAAGGGAATCTGAAAGGAATATACTGCATTGAACAGTAATTTGACAGATATTTAACCTGTAAGGTTTAGGGAGTTCTCTCTCCACATAATTTATAGGACTCCAAATGCTTCATCACACCACATAGTGTATACAGTCCTTGGTGCAAAAGACCGAGAATGAGAAAGTATATATAGGGAGAAATCCACAAAGATTATCACCAGGTCCTGAGTCCTTCCAGCAGAAGGAATATGTTAGGCAAAAATGTCTAGATGATTTTTAAGTAGTGCATTAGATGGACTACAAAATAAAAAAACCCAGCTCTTCTTATTGATTCAACATGTGTGGAAAATTCTTTGTTCGTTCCAGGGATGGCGAGGGTTTTGATGCTGAGCATGAGACCAGCTGAGCTGGGAGGGCTGAACATGGCTGGCTAAAGAACTGGGGCAGGAATTGCTGAGCTGGGGAGTTAAGAGAGAGCAGACACGGCAGGACCATCAGGGTGGTGTTCAGGACACGGGGTGCGAGAGGTTGAAAGGCAGGTCAGGTTATGAAACAGGTCAGGTGAGGTGCCCTGAGGTTTATTGTGAGCCTGATGCTTCAGACACTGACCCCTCCTCCGTTTACAGCAAAGGTCTGCCAGCGTGCAGGGCACCTTCCCCGGTCTCTTGTCGCTTCACACAACGGACAACAGCCCACGACTGCAGGCAGTGTCTCTGCTAGCTCAAACAAGAGGTCTCCATAATGGATCTAAAAGTTAAGCCTCACACAGCAGGCCAAGCAGGCGTTAGTGTGATGCCAAATCATGGAATATCGATACTTTTTTTTTTTTTTAAACCTTGAAGTCATATCCATATAGATTTACACACATAATGCGCAGAAAGTAATACAGATTTTTCGGGAAGAAACACTTAAAAATTAAGAAAAACTGTTCTTAAAGCCCTCTTGTGCAATCCTAATGGGATCCTTTTATATGTTTGCAGTTTTGAACTATGCAGATGCATACCAATTATTTTCTAGGGACACTTCAGTTGCTATAGAAAGGACAGACATTTGGGGGTTTTCTGGTCATAGTAGCTATGGAATAGAAACTTAATTTGCAGAAAACAAGACATGGGACGAATGAGGCATGTGACAGTAAAACTTAAAGGGATTGCTTTTGTTGTGAAGGCCTCACTGGGTAGCTGAGTGTTATCTCTGCCCTCAACAACTGAAACCTTTTTTGACACAAAGCGAGTCACTTAAACTAAATTTCTCACATGCTTTTTTTTCCCTTTGTCTTGAGACCTTGTGGTCTGATTCACACAAATGCTGAATGCTCAGCTACAGGGAGCTGAATACCGAGCTTATAAAGCACTGTATAACCCCAAGTGTTCTGAAAAATGAAGTCTTGAGCATTTCAAGTTGGATGCCTCTAATGTATGACTACTTCTGAATGTTATCTCTGCATGTATCAGGACATCATTTGCATTCTGAGAGCTGTATCATTCTCTTATAACATAAAATAAATTAGTTAATGTTTGTGCAGCTCTCAGACATTACAGCGATGAGCATAGTAGAAAACCTCATGAGGAAATTAATATTCTGTCCTCAGAACAGGGTCTGAGCGACAAATGGAAATGAAGTATTGAGTTAGCTGTTCCTAAAATGTATTAATGAAGGTAGGGACTTTTAAAATTAAAATATACCCATGATGATTTAATTATTGTTTGCACTGTACTGCACATCCACAAAAGACAAATACATATATATATATAACCAGAATCCTGACACTTCGTAATTTTACTTACTGGCTTTTGCTGTCTTAAAACTTTTTTTCTTCCTTAAGTACCTATGAGCTATACAGGGGACAAAATCCTCTACCTGCATAACCAGAAATATATGTTTTGAAATGTGGAGAGTAACTTTCTTACTTTCAAAAATTGTGTAGTACTAATTACTGAATATGTAATTATTACGTTCTTGAAGAAAACAGAGCATAAATTTATATTCCTGCAGTTCAGTGAGAATGTAGGAAAAGCCTCTCCCTTCCCCAGCAGCTGGGTTTCAAGGTGCACATCTGCTTTGCACCTGCACGTCCCTTTCAGTAACTGTCGTGGTGGATAAGGGACCAAAGAGGTCCTGACTGTGTAAAACAGCGAAGCTGGGACTGGGGAAGCACGTTCAGATGGCTTTTGCCTGCACAGAGCACAGTTGTCACTGGTGCCTGTGGGACAGGATGAGGACATTAATGGATTTGGCTTGGTCTGGCAAATCAAGTGGGTTTCCTGTTGTGATGACAGATTTCATTTATGGACAGATAAAAATCCTTTTTTTTAAAAAGAGGAATTCTCCTGAATAGCCTGAAATCTGCTTTTTATGAGCAGCTGGGCTTGTATGAAGTATTCATTAATTTAGAACACCCTGCACCTGATGATTTGAGGACATACACTGGAAAATCAGGAGCTTATACTGACTTACTACAAAGTCAGAAAATGGGCTAAAATATTATATCCTCTTTTAAGTTAATCTTATAAATAGTACAGACCTTATACTGCTCAGAGACTATAGCAGCTTTCTCTGTTTTATAACACTGCAGTTGCCGCACTGCCCTTCTCTGCAAGCCGAAGGAAACGGGCCAAGAGTGTTACTCTCATTTTGTTTATTAATGATCTACTTCTTAGCCATAACCATCTCCAAACAGCCTAAGTACCTCATAAGACATTAAATTAAAGCAGCTAACCTGGTCTGTATGCAAAAAATACAATACATACATATGTATGCATATGGGCTTAATCAAAGTGGGGGAAAAATTTAACCCTCTTCACCTGAACCTTTCATTCTACATCATAGGGAGGAGAAGGAAGAGGGGAACATAACCCAAAACTGCCCAAGAAAGCCAGGCCGACAGCACCCATGGAATGGAAATGGGATCCAACATATTATAGATTAGGGTGAAGCAAAGCAGTATCATATTAACCTCAACTGGTTACAGCTAATTAGCCCTGCAAAGCCACTTAGAAGCAGTTCTCCTTAGTGAAGGCTGTAAGCATATTGCAAAATACAAAGCAGTGGTACTGCTGCTCGTTGTGTTTTCAGGGGGTTGTAGCTCCTGTGTGGCTGGGTCTGCACTCCACCCCTCAGACAGAAATGCTTCTGAGGTGCACTGCTGGGAGAGTTTAGTGGGCATAGTTTACAGCGGTATATAGATAAGCAGTGCTGGTCAGTTACGCTGACAAAATGCAAAAGGTGATTTCAGGTAGAAAAATTATTCTCCCATTCAAGCTGTGGGTGGAATATGAGTTCAGTTGTGCACTAGGGTCAGAAACTGGAGAACCTAGAAGAGATACAGATACTTTTACCTGTTAAGGGTATGTTGTAGGATTGGGTTCACGGCCACAAGGGCTGGAGAAGTAGTAAACTGGTTTTAATTTCATTAAATACCTTTTACTGAAAGATTCTTAGGTCGGATTTAGCCTTCATCTGGTTTTTTTTGTTTTCTGAAAACTCAATTATCAGATCAATAGATATTCTGTTTTCTTTCATGTTTTGGTTTTTTTTTTGTGTCTTTAAAAAATATATTTAAATATTATTTTAATAATATTTGCTTATTTAAATGACTGTGCTATTCTGAAATCTCCATTAACAGAGCTAAATCATGATTTACGAATTACTCAGTTGCCCCAAAACCAGTGTTTAAGTCAGCATTTTGGACTTAATTGGTAACGGTAGAATAGTGTAAAACTGTAAAGAATAAATCTGTTTTATTGGTATGTATTTAGAGCAGAAACGAATATTGGATTTGTAATTTCCTATGGTTCCTAGGGGACTTGTGCAGGGAGAACTCCTTTTCTGAACTCTCTGCACTTGTCTGTTCCCAGAAGAACAATGCTTATTGATATCAGGTTTTTTATTATTGATCTGCTCAGTATAAAACCCTTTCATCTTTACATTTTATTTTTCTGTCTTTTTGCTTTCATCCGGCTCTGTGTTTAGTACACGGTGTGGACCGCCCTGTGGGTCACCTGGAATGTTTTCATTATCTGCTTCTATTTGGAAGTAGGCGGACTTTCTAAGGTAGGTCACTTACCATTTTTCAGGTTTATGGGATTGTGTTTTAACAGCAGATTTTAGAAGGCTGGAACCATAGAGGAAAAATGTAGCTGTTTGAACGTACAGTTTGATCTTTGGAGTTCCCCTCCGATGAGAACCTCAGTGTTTGAACTTGTCTCTGATAGTAAATAACTGTGGGTTTGAAGTACATAAATGCAATGGATCTGAATTAGAGTTGCCTTCTGAAGTACCGGGGAGGTGGAGGAGGGGGAAGATTATTCAGTGGAAAACTTGATGTTCTTTTTGATTGTTGAAAAACAGACAATGTCACTTTGGTTAAATCTTAAAGTGTGTATGAAAAATATATTTGAATTTCTGAGACTACTTTGAAAGCAGCTAAAGAAAATTAATGTGAGATAAATGTAATAACTTGTTGAGCAGGTGGGTCTCATGATGAGAATGTTAATTCTTTATAAAAAAGAGCAAATGGCAAAGGATTAATTTTTTCAAATCTGAGTAAAACTTTCCTTTACGTGACCCTCAATGCTCTAGCTCACTGCTTTCTTGTTCAAATCTCCGATTAGAGGAGAAATGTTTGCTGGAAATATCGAGATACGCGTTACGCTCATACAAGGTAGCGCTTACGTTAGCAGAGCTTATATTTGCCATTGTATCTACAGTAAGTTCCATACCACTGCTGATTTTTATCCTCCTGTTGCACATAGATGATATTGATCTTTGTTTACCATATTCATACTTAGATGATTCCGGGCACAGAATGCCCATAGCGCGTGCTGACTCTGGCATTATTAATAGAATAAATGTCCCCGTTACTGGTTGTAGATTTAGTGATATGAACTACGTCATGGTTAACTCATGCAATGCTTTTAGAGAATTGTGAACTTCCCTCATTTCAGATGGGAATGTTTGTGAGCTACATACTTTTTTGGTTTAAGCATTAAAACTCCTAGCCTTTGGCTGACAACAAACAGAAAACGGGTAAAACTGTTTTAAGAAGAAATAAAATTTAATTTACTCAGTAAAAGTTCCATAAAAATTGAAGTTTTCAGTGATAGATTCCTTTGGTGATAAAATCTCATAACAAAAAGCTACAACAGTTTATTTTTTCTGCAAATATGATATAGTTCACCAGAAGTCACAGACTTGATGAGGAAATTAGTGCACTTCATAGACGATCAAAATAAATGATCATATTGGTATGATCTGACTTAAAGATCTAATAGATGAACAGAAGAGAAACACACGGAATTGATGAATGCCCAAAGCAATTGTTCATTTTCATTATACATAGTTTGCAGTTTTTCAATCAGTTGGGTGATGACTGTTTTTATAGTGACTATTATATTTTCATAGATAACTAGTGTTTTTACCAAAGTGCCTAGGAAGCAAAGTGAAACTTTTGGTGTGACCCACGAGTTTGTGAAAATTTGAGTTGTCTTCCCACTGATTGCAAAGGAGTGTGATCATATCCTCAGTGTGTGTAATGGGATTATAAATGAGCAGGTATACATTGAGAACTTCGACCTTCCAGTTTCACTGCTGTGTTTCACTTTTAGGTCTTCTTACTTAACATATATGACAAATCACAATGCAGACAAATAGTTGCATAAATACTATTCAACAACTGAGAAATATCCCTTGTATTAGTATGTATTTCGGTTGATCCCAGAATTCTGGTGAAATTTTTATTTTGTGGTTTATAATTACATTTGAAAAGTATTTCTTAGCAAAGTGATAGACCCAAAATTATTTCCCTGGAAGTTAAATGCTTTTGTACAGATTACATCAAAGGCACCAGTATTGGGACCCAGCTAGTAATGATAAAATCAAGAATTTTGTGCACTGGACCATGGAATTTGGAGTCCATTTAATGCCGTTTCTGAAAACTCTGCTAGAGATGATGTGGTCATCAAGAGACTGAGGTCTCTTTGCACCATATGCATAAAATGCTGGTATTTAAAAATTGATGGGTATTTTACACAGACTTAATTGGGACCCACATTTTACCCAACGTGCTAGCTTCAAAATTTCATCATTTCTTTCAATAAATATGCTTCTGTGTTGTCAGGCATGATAGAAAGGTGCAATTATCAATATGTGGTTGGCAAATCAAATGCCATCAGAAGCTTTTCGAGGATGATTATTTTATCAGCATTGAAATCTTGGCACAGAGTATTAGCCTTTTTTCCTGCTATTGTTCTATTTTTCCATTTTTAAAAAAAGGCTTTGTTTTAGAAATGAATGCAGATTTATTATCATTTTTAACTTATGTTGACTATCAGGGAAAATTATGAGGCTGTCTGGCAGCTGACTGATTTCTGTTGGTTGACTTGTTTTTAAACACTATCATGTTTATATTCTGACCAGAATTAGAGTTCACTGTTGCTAGGGGCCCTGTGAATTTATTAGGTCTTTGATTGTTAATACTGTCAGAAAATATAACTCAGTGCAGTATTACATGGTAATTTTAATGCAATGTCTTCACATGGAATATGCATACAGTGTGGACAGACTTTTCAAAAGTCCTAATAGAACCACCCCCACTGCTGAAATTTTTCTCAGATCTTATTCTTATGGCAGAAAGGAAAATCTCCTTTGAATATTCTGTTTTTGAATTCTGCCAAGAAGTTCCACTACAGTTAATGGGAAATTTTAATATGAAGGATATAAGCCTGTTCTTTGCTGTGAAGATTTGAAGGAAGCATTTTTCCATCTATGATAATGCATAATGCTCAGATTTTCCTGGTAAAATGATTTTAGGATCAGCTTGATGTTTACTTTAAGGTTTATGGTTGTTGAACAAGATATTTGCCTGATAAGGGATGACAGGAACTCTGCCACCTACCCTCCCAGTGTCCAACACGTTGTATGTGACTCAATCATTTTCATTATTTCAGAAAAGTATGCTGTTTCTTCACAAGAGTGACATGGAAAGCCTGTATAGTTTGGGTTGGAAATATATTTCATGTTTTAAAATTATTTGCCAAAAAAAAGGCAATTTCATACATACCTATTTTCCCACCAATGTGTGGTGTTTTTTGTGGATTTTCTTAAATATTCTGGAGGGCCAAACTGGTAAGACTGAAGTGAGGAAGCTGGTAGGGAAGGTTAAGATAGGAACTGGAAGACAATATACATATGGCTGTAGGCTTCTCATTGAGGAGTTCACTTGGGTTTCAGTCTCTGCTCCAATTAATAACATTATTTTATATAAAAAAGGAATCTTCACAGAAGAGCTTTCTCTGAAAGCACCCCCCAATAACTACGGTATGGAAATTAGGGCAATCTCCTGGGAAAAGGATGATAGGGATTCAGGTCTCCTTGGGTGTGAAAAGGAAATAAACCTGGCACTCCCACAGCCAGGCCTTGTCAGTAGAATGCTAATGACTAGAGGTTTCCTCTTTAACTACCTTATAAAAAGCAAAGTGAAGCTCCTTTTTTTCACTTATGTTACAGATGTGCAAATAAAATTTTAATGCTTTTTCAGGGTTAAAGAAATTGTATTTGATCTGAAATAAATGTATCCATATAACTTCGTTTGTGTTAACTTGGGATTTTTTAATTCTTTGTTTCATTTCTGATTTTTAGCAGGGAAAAATGCCTATATGAAAAATGAAATTTGCTGGTATTTCTCGTTTACTACTTTTGTGAAATTGAAAGCACAAGTTTATTGTTAGCCACTATGCATGAGAGAAACAAAGCTGCTATTATAACATGACCTTTTAATCCTCCACTGCAGGATGACAGATTGCTGCATCCATACATGAGCTCATTAGTTATTTGGATCTTATTCTGTGTCTTGAAATGAAAATGTGTTCTAATTGCCACATTCCAGAGTATGGACAATTTAAAGCATATAGACCTAAACACAAACCTTGAAGAATAAGAGGCAAAAGAAATTTCTCTAAAGAACATTTGCAAATAAACATCAATTGTATCTTACCTAATACAATACCAGAAGCTGCTATTTTGAAGTTTTGTATGTTCTCAAAGATAGAGAACTTCTAACTTGTACAAACCAGCCCTCCATCCCCAGCAATACTTATTGCTTCTTACTTTACAAAAGAACATCTCTTTTATTTAGTGTGTACTGTTAATATTTCTGTCACTTGTATCCCTCCAATATCTGAGAACCAGTATGAAAATAGCTGTATGTATTTACAATTTTCTATGCCAAGTGGTACTTTCTGATAGGTGTTTTTTCTACTACTTGTTTTATTGTGGGTTACAGTGATATTTGTTTTTATGTGTTAATACCTTTATTCAGTAAATGCATAGCAGCATTCCAGTGTCGCATACTCCTTTCCTGTTGTTTACTAAGCAGCTGGGCAGTGTTGATGAGCACTTTATTTTAAAGATGTTTCTGCTTGTTCTGCCCGATTTTCCTGTGGCATACTTTCTGAGCATGAACTTTGTTTCATTCTGGATTATTTTTAAGTTTAGCTCTTGAGGTTGAGCTCTCTGTCAACTGACTCTTTTGGCCAAAGATTTGCATGACAAACACTGGTATATTCAGCAAGAAACTACTTCTAAAACAGCTTATCTAGTCCTTAGTTTTAGATATGGATTGTGGCTGAGTGGGATCTCTAATGTGGCTGTGACACTACCTTCATTAACCTTTCCCCTGAAGCCAAAGAAAATTTTGCATATTTTAATTAATGAAATAATCTTTTCACATATCTTTTCTAGAAATATTTACTTTTCTCAATGGAAGTTCAAAGTCTGTAGGGGTCCCAGCCAACTATGTTAAGCTGGAAACAGAACTATAGGCTAAATTTATTATATGGATCCGTAGTAGGAGGGTAGAATTATAACTCTGTTAAAATTAATTATTTATTCTATCCAAGGACAAAATGGACTAATAAATTAGTAAAACACTGTGGGAATAGAAACTTAGTACGTCTTTCTAAACAAAATATTGTACATCAGAATGAGGGCTAATCATGCGGACTTTATCCTGGCTACTTCTGGAATCCAATTTATTCCATCTGGTGCATGCCAGT